TAATCAGGAAGACAGTAGATAACGATTGGCATTGCATTTCAATTTTTGAAGATCAAAGTTGACTGGAAAGCAAGAAGCCGGAAGAGAGTTCCACAAGCAAGAAGTGCGATAGAAGAAATTGTTAGCATAGAACTTACGGAAAACAAGAAGCTGGAACAGAGTTCCACAAGCGAAAATTGAGTGAGAACAATAGAAGAGTAATCAGTAATCATATAGTAAAGTGACCATAGAAGAAAATTTAATCAGAAAAATACTATGAAACTATTTATAGAAAAGACATAGGGAAGTTCCGTTACGCACAAGATATGCTTTAATGAAAAATTAAATCAAAACAACTTTTTCAAAACATCCTGCTGCGTCTGACTAACTTTTACACACTTTATCATCCAGAATGCTTCTCAAGCATATTTGAATATTATCATTAATATCCGTCTCTGCTTTTTATCATTTTTATCTTGATCTCTGACGAAGCTGTAATAAAGTGAAACATGTTAGATTAAGATCTGTTTATATATATATATATATATATATATATATATATATATATATATATATATATATATATATATATATATATATATATATATATATATATATATATATATATATATATATATATATATATATATATATATATATATATTTATATTAGAGGAGGCACGGTGGAGTAATGGATAGCGGCTTGGATTGAGGAATCGGAGAGCCGAGTTCGAATTTACGTGCCCTTGGGAAGGTGTGAATCCTCTTCTTCTTCCTCCAGCTATGGGTAAATAGCAGGACGGACTGGGTTCTATAGCCTTGGATGCCAACTGGTTTAGAAGAATTACAACTCAGAATTCACAACCTACGGAGGGTCGTTTGGGAACCTTGTGACATTCGGTGCACCAGGTCTCTGTATTCGTCCCTTCAAAAAGTGTGGATGGTTCTGTACGTAACCTTCACCACTATAATCAAATCTCATGTGCTGTTGTCGGGCTGTCGGTTTCCTAGGAACTGATCTGCTTGATCCTCATACGTCGAATTCGACGGGAGAGTCGAGTATATATATTATACAGCATGAAATCCCAAATTATCTAGTGTGGGTATAACATATTTCAAATCGGCGCAAACTTGCGCCAGTCCGCTTCAGCTATATAGCCGGTTTGAGATAGGCTATACACACATGAGGTAAATTGGATTTCATACTGTATAATATATATGCCCTGTTATAATGAATACATTGAGTTCTCTTTGTGGGTCAATTTTAATATTTGATATTACTAGGATCCACCTGTATTATATACTAACGGATCTATATGAGATAACCATATATATATTTTATATATGAAGAACAATATTGAGGAAAAATATATGACAAAGTTTTCCTTAGGACTTCGTCGGACTAAATTGTCATGTTGGTGCGACTGCACATGCGCACGAACGAGGGATGCTGGGAAATTAATTTTTTTTTTAACCTTCTTAGTTTAGATTAATTTCTTTTTCTTTCCAACACTTTTGTTAGTAGATATCCCACAATGCCAGGAACGGTGAAATGTTGTAAGAGCCATGGCGCAAATTTACTATGGATGACCTTACGATCAATACACTCTCGAGATATTCTCATTGTAGTTGGAAAGAATCTATTTTCGTTGTGCAATTGGAAAGCGCCTATCTAAACTCGATATAAAATTTGTTACTACTACATCTAAAACAATAAAAGCGTAAGCCTATACTAAACAAAACAATAAGCTACAACTTAAAGTAGGAATTTACTCGATCGCCTGTAATAATTGTCACAAAAAATACATAGAAGAAACTGTTACAGTTTTTGTGTATATCCAAATAAAATGTTATATGAACACAAAGGGGACATTATACAAAACAATAAGTTAAATGCATTGGTTTCCCACCGTAACGAGACTGACCACAATTTTGACGTTCATTGGTTAATCTAGACATACCCATGAGTATATTTTTAGTCCTGACCTTATGCACCCCACTTTAACTTACGAAAAGACGTACAGATTTGTTTTTAAATTTCCCTCATACATCATTTTTATCATTAGTTATATACCATCTTATTATATATATATATATATATATATATATATATATATATATATATATATATAGGAATATTTTTTGGTTACAGCCTTTCAGTTCAGAATGAAAAACAAAACTATGTTTGAAGAAAATGAGTTGGGATTTTTGAGGATAAGGGAAGCAATCAATTAAATTACCTTTTCAGATCCGACGACCAGATAAATATGTTTTTTTTTTTTGTTTATACATACATACATATATATATATATATATATATATATATATATATATATATATATATATATATATATATAGGTAGGTAGGTAGGTAGATAGGTAGGTAGGTAGGATGAAAACGAATAGCGCATTTAATTTAAAAGCAGGCTGAATACATAAATATTATTTATTTTAGGATATTACAAGAACATGTAACAATCGCTACCCAATTGCAGTCGTGTTTCAACGCGTAACGATGCGTCTCCTCAGGTGATTGTAAGTTACTAGCGAGTGAACGATCGTTATGTGTTGAAACAAGACTGCAATTGTGTAGCGATACTTACATTTTTTGTTGTAATATTCTAATATATACATATTCAGTCCACTAAAACTACATAGCGTTTTTTTTTATTTATGTTAATATTTAACGCAATATATCTTAAAAATTTTCGCAACACCGGTTTGATAGTGAAAATAATGATTTACATGATAAGACCTATCATAATGTAGTAATTCCAAAGGGGGGCAATTTATTACTTAATAATAATAGAAAATCGATCCCCGGACTTTATGCCCGTTAGAAACGTATTAATATTTAACTGAAAATAATATTTAACTGAAAATAATATTTAACTGAAAATAATATTTAAGTGAAATATATCTTGGCTTGGTTAAAACCAGTTTAACTGTAAAAACATTGACTTGCATGATAAATTCTGAAATAATGTAGTCATTTTAATGGGGAATCAATTTATTACTTAAAAATAATGGAAAACCGATCCCCGACTTTATGCCCATAAGAAACGCATTAGGTTTTAATTGAAATATATCTTGGCTTGGTTAAAACCAATTTAAGTGTAAAAACATTGACTTGCATGATAAAATCTGAAATAATGTAGTCATTCTAATGGGGGATCAATTTATTACTTAATAACAATGGAAAACCGATCCCCGACTTTATGCCCATAAGAAACGCATTAGGTTTTAATTGAAATATATCTTGGCTTGGTTAAAACCAATTTAACTGTAAAAACATTGACAATGTCAACTGTGTATAATAGATTTCCCAGCTCAACCAAAAAGCCCTTCTTTTTCAAGAGTCAGCATTTGTAAAGTTGTGTTAAGCTGATAATTTATCATCAACCATCTTTTTATAATGAAATTATATTTCTATCTCTCTATATACAGGGTGACCATTATGTCACTATACAGTTACTTACAATAATAATCAAGATAAAGCAAATAATCAACAGTCCATAAATTTATTATTAAAATGGCTCTGGTTAATTCTGGTTAGTAATAATAAAACGCTATGGTAAACAATAGTAAATTGAATGCCAACACTATTTGAACTGCAAGTAAACCTGCTTCAATGCTTGGCTTTTTTATTATAAGGAATTGTATAGTGACTTTATTGCCACCATATATATATATATATATATAGATACACCTAGTGAGCCAGACAAACCTACCTAGGAGGTTTGTCTGGCTCACTAGGTGTATCTAGGTCTGCTCTACGGTTGTATTGAGCGCTTTTGTTAGTTAGTTGTCACTCGTATCGGGTTTTTTTCTTTTGGCTTCAGGCCTGCATCTGTGCGATTTTTTTGTCGACAGAAGTTCATGTTTGTAGCTCTTTCTTTTTTTAAAACCTTTTTTTCCCTCGAGATTGATTTGATTAGCAAATCAAAAATTCGAGGGTTTTTCGAAACGAGTCTAGTTATCTATATATATATATATATATATATATATATATATATATATATATATATATATATATATATTATTTAAAAAAAATTATAGAAAATTTCTGTATCCCCTTACTCCTAAAAATGGAAAGACTTTAGGATGCTGGAAAAAAAAAATAATTAAATCTTCATTGTCTGGCATATTTCATGAACAATTTTTAAAAGAAAGGTTGCTGCCTAAATATGCATTTATATATATATATATAGAAATATAGTCTTAAGGTGTGCTATATTTATGGAATAAAGTGCTCAATATCAGAGATAGAGCGTGTGTAAATATAAAAGTGAACATAGAAGTCAACACTTAGAGGTGACAGTCTGTGGCATGACGATATGCAATATAGCATGAAACAGACTGTCGCCATAAGTGTTGACTTATGTTCACTTTTATATTTATATATATATATATATATATATATACATATATATACATATATATATATATATACATATATATATATATATATATATAGTGTGTGTGTGTGTGTGTGTGTGTGTGTGTGTGTGTGTGTATGTGTGCGTGTGAGACAATAAAGTCACTATACAGTTACAATAATAATTAAGGTAAAGTAATTAATCAACAGTCCATAAATTTATTATTAAAATGGTTTTGGTTAAATCTAGTTAATAACAATAAAATGCTATGGTAAACAATAGTAAATTGATTACCGATAATGTTCGAACTGTAAACCACCTACTTTTTATTATAAGTAACTGTATAGTGATTTTATTACCATACTGTATATGTGTGTGTTTGTGTGCGTGCACGTGTGTGTGTGTGTTTATGTCCGTCACACAAAATATATATGACATATGTATTTGGAATTGTTTATAAATTCAGCATATTATCCGTGAGTATGGAGAGAAACGGCTCAAGGAGATCGAAGCTCACAACAAGAGAAATTCAGACCCCACCCCGACGCCAAGTCCGGGTTCAGCTCCCAAAACTAAAAATAAACCCACAAGGACACAAAACAGCTTGCAGGTTGGACCTGTTAAAAAGAATAAGCCCCTACGAATGTCAAACCTAGACAAACCGACATCGCAACGGAAAGAGACCCTTAAAACCAAAACGTCTTCTATTTCTAAGAGACTGCGCGAGCTGCCGCTCGGTCGAAGCATCATAATGGCCACTTCTAGCGGTGTGCGCACTTCCGGTAGAACGGGAAACGACAATCGATTTCACCGACTCTGGAAAAGCAACTGGTCAAAATTATTCTCCGCTCGCAAAAGCGCCGTCGATGGAGAGAGTCGAAACGTCCAGGGGACGGGAGCCAGATCGGGAGAGAAACGGCGAAAGTCCTCTTCTAATTCGTCCTCGTCCCCCGAGGCACGATCTCGCAAACAGTGTGTTGCTTTCTCCCAGGACATGGGTGGAAGTAAAGGGGATGCCGGAGATGGAGGTATGGCGGGTGATGTATCATCGATATCAGCTAAAGCTACGTCACACTCCGGTCGGAAAACACTTAGCAATCGTTTGTCTAATATTATGAATCAACATAAAGTCTCGCATGGAGCGAAATATTCAGCTGTAAAACCGGACACTAGTGACTCCGATTCGGCCTATACGGATTCTGCCTGTCAACCGCTGACCAAACCGCCGGAGACATCAAAAAAGGATGTTCCAGTGACCGATCGTCGTGTTGGCGGATTCGCTGGACTCTTAAGCGCAGCCGGTTTCCGACGAACGCCACCAGCGAAATCTTCCGAATCAGCAATCCGCAGCGCGCCATCAGTTCCTCATATTTCATTAACTGTTTCCTCGCTGTCAAAAGAAAATGTCTCCCAAGAATTAGTACAATCATCAAACATCCCAGTTGGTGACGTTGTTGTTGATACAGGTGATGCCTCTGCTGTAGGCCAGTCATCTACAAAACCAGTCTCGCTATCAGCGACCATTTTAATGGAAGACGTTAGTGACCACAAAAACACTACCGACATATCTAGTACGTATTGGCCTCCACAGCAAACAAAATATGGCACCTATACAACAACAACAACAACAACCACTACGATCAGTACTACGGCTGCAAATACAAAAGGCTCTGGTAGTATCTCCTCCTTACCGGGCACGATGTCTACGATGCGCGGTCATTTGATGTCTCTTCCAGCTTCCTCCTCCGTGCAGGCTTTTTCGTCCTCCTTCGGGCCGGCCTCGCGAGGTTCCTCTTCACTTTTCTCCAACCCAGCTCGCTCAGCAACAACACACAGTTTCACTTCTTCCTCCTTCTATCCGGGAACCGGGAGTGGCCCCGTCACGAGCCGACCACCCATCACACAGTCCTATTCATTCTCGTCGTCTTCGTCGCCGTCTTTCTATCCCGGCGTGGTCGGCAACGTGTCGACGAGTTCATCGTCGACGCCCAACGTCCATCACGTCGCCTCCGGCCTGACGACGCCCGTCACCATTTCAACCACAGCTAAAACCACATCCGCCACGACGACGACGACGACGACGGCGTCGACGACAACGACGACGACGTCTACGACGACGACGGGCTTAATATCGGCGCCCATCTCCGGAAATAAATTCAGCCTGCTCGCTGGCCGACGTCGCGGGCCGCAGCAGGCGTCAGGGCTGCGTTCCTGTTCGTTGGAGGAATACCGGACGTCGACATCAAGTTCCGATTTTCAACCTTCTTCGCAATTGGTAACATCCAGTTCGTCTTTCTGGACACCAACCCCGGCTGCCCCGCCACCTTCTTACTACTCCAGTTACAGCGTATCCAGTTCTTTCATGCACCCGCAAGTCAACCGATGGATACCCGGAAGTGGATCTACGCATGCGCCATCACTCGGACTCACGACAAGGTATATTGGTATAGACTAAAAACGCATGCCCAAACATTTTTTCGCATGGTTGTTGTACGTAGTTGCATTTTATACGCAGCACTCACACCATCGTATATATGTAAACATTGTGGATATACAAAACAACACTGCATGTTGACTGCCAGTTTCACGTTTCTATACGATCTTCAGACCAAGTGTCTTTAACGGGTTCTGTGTGTAAGTCACGTGGGAATAAAATGAAGTGAGGGAGGGAAAGGAAACCAGCTCTTCCCAGTTTCTTTTGTTTAGCATCAATGCTGAGGTTAATTTATGGATATGATACATTGCTCACTTATCCTGGCTTAACCATAAATTTAACAATATACATAGTATTAATATATAACCCTACAAATCAAAACCTACCCACATTCCTCACCCACATAAGACAGACATGCTTACGGAGCTGTTGAGGCCTCACACTTATACACTCACCCACACGAATATACACACTTACACACATCATACTCACTCCCTAATGAGCCAAATGATAACACACACCCACAGCAGTATACACGCTTACACACATCATACTCACTCACTCCCTAAGAACCAAATAACACACACACACACACTTAACAGAGACACATCCTCTTTCCAGGAACCAATAAAACTGACAAACTGATCAGGGGAATTCAGAGCAGCATGGATCCATCCAGGTCTTATCTCAAATAACAACTTAAAAGAGACTGTTTGACCAACACAAAGACTGACCAAAATTCGCTTTAAAAAATAAAAAATAAAAACAAATGAAAACTACAGACACAAGTTCATTTTCTCCACCAAGACATTCATTTCTGTAGTTCTCCTGATGATGGCCATGTTGGCCGAAACTAGTCGAGGAATCTAAATGAAAAAATAATAAAAACGTAGGAATATTAATATACAACCGAGTGTATCTGAAGATTTTAATTTTTTAATATTTTTATTGTTTAATATATATATATATATATATATATATATATATATATATATATATATATATATATTATGATGAAGTTAATTGGTAATCCGTATGGATAATTCAGGCAGGATATAAATCCCGAGAGCTTAATGTAATAAACAGAGCAAGTAATAATTAACAAATCGGAGACTTCAGAAAGCCATGGTAATATTTTATTTCGCGAGACGGGTAAAATTCGATTTCGCTTCGTCAGAACTAACGGTTTCTAAACAATGAATGGATTTAGAAAATTCTTACAGGAATCAACCGAAGAACGAAATGAAAAACAAGATTAGCGGAAGTTGTGTTTTCAGATAGTTACACAGAGAAGGAAGGGAAGGAGGGTGGGTATATGTCTATAGGAGATGCTATGGTTGCAGCGTTGACTTCTTATTCACTGGACAAGAAAAAGGAATTAAAAAATAAGGAGAAGCAGGGGACAGAAGAGAGGAAGGGAAAAAGTCTAAAAACGAAATGGAAAACAAGATAAGCGGAAGTTGTGTTTATATATATATATATATATATATATATATATATATAAAGATATATTGTTAAATATAACAGACAATGAATGTCTATTATATTTCATCATGCGGCGTTCTAAATTCCGTATATTTGCTTTAATTTCGGGTGAAAATAAAGACAAAAATTGTCCAAAATTTGGATATTTCTTATTATTCTTATTATCCTGTTCCTTGACCTAAGCTTTCGGCTACATGAGCCAGCTTCAGTGTGGCTATGCGGACATTTGAACGAAGGTATTCACCATCAAAGGTGATATCCTGTTATGTTGACATAGAAGATTGCTATGCGACGATAACGGTCGCGTAACAGCAGAGACAGGTCATAAATTCATGATGCGATTCTATGACGTCGTACCACATGAGAGAAGGAAATATTAACAACAGAACCGTAAGTATAGATGCATTGTAATATGTTGTGACTAGTTTGAAATGTAATTTTGCTTTCTTTTAATGCAGATGGACTCCAATATCTGAATGTTCTTTTGTCACCCGAAATTAAAGCAAATATACGGAGTTTACAACGTCTCATGATCAAACATAATAGACATTTAGAACAAGGTTTAGAACGGCTCATTATCAAACATAATAAATATTTAGAACGGCTCATGATCAAACATAATAGACATTTAGAATGGCTCATGATCAAACATAATAGACATTCATTGCTTGTTATATTTAACAATATATGTTTAAATAATGATCTGCTGCCCCAATACACTATATATATATATATATATATATATATATATATATATATATATATATATATAAAAAAAAATATAGTTTTAAGGTGTGCTATATTTATGGGAAAAAGTGCTCAATATCAGAGATAGAGCGTATGTAAATATAAATATAAAAGTGAACATTGAAATCAACACTTAGAGGCGACAGGCTGTTTCAGGCTGGACGCAATCGTCAGCCAAGGGTATTAGCACGTAAGTGAATGTAATCTGTCGGACTCGAATTTGATCTCAGCTCTCCGATTCGTCAATCAAGCCGCTATCCATTACTCCACCGTGCCTCCTTTTATATATATATATATATATATATATATATATATATATATATATATATATATATATATATATATATATATATATATATATATATATATATATATATATATATATATATATATATATATATATATATATATATATATATATATATATATATATATATATATATATATATATATATATATTATTAGTGGAAAATATACATACATATGAAAAATATATCTAAAAAAATTTCCGTACATATATATTTTCAGAAAAAATTTTTCCAAGAGGAAGGATCCAGGTAGAACTCAATGTCTAGGACAGAGTAAGGATATAATAAAAAGGCTTAAACACTAATATTCCATGGACAGAATTTATTCCATTGGAATCGTAAATACGATCCAAATCATCAGACCTACAAATTCAAAATGAAAACAGAAAAAATAACTCCGGAAATCAAAAACGAATTTAGAGAAAAGTAAGTATGAGGAGGAGGGACAGAGAGAATACTAGGAGATGTGGGTGGGGTGGGGAATTTAAAAAAGAAGAGAGAAAGAAAGTCGACGGATGTCTAATGCATAAAGATACATTTCGTGGTGACATACATACATCACAGACAATTGGAAGTTAGGATAGGAAGTAGGGGGAAAAAGAAAAGAGGTGGGGAGAGAGATGGGACGAAGAAAAAAAAAAAATTGTGTTTACTTAAAGGGCCGCTTTGTAATTGAGAAAATTAGTATAGACTCCAGGTTAGAATCAAATATAAATATATGAAGGTGAATATAAAAGATTGTCTTATTTAGCAAGGCCAAAATTTTTCTATGTTTAAAAAAAATATTAATACACAAAAAAAAAACAATACAAGTAGGTACATACACTTAGGCATGTACTCACACACACACCCAGACATACGTGTACATACACATGCACATACATACACACATACATATATATATATATATATATATATATATATGTGTGTGTGTGTGTGTGTGTGTGTGTGTGTGTGTGTGTTTTGTGGTACAAAACTTTATGACTGCCATAAAAAGAAAAAAAAAATTTTATTACCACTCATGATGATAATAAATAAAAAGTAAAACTGAAAAATGGGCGAGTTAACCGGTTTCGAACCTCGCTCAACAGAGCTAAATCGAGGTTAATAAATTATAACAAAATTATCACTAAAAAAAATGGAAAATATGTATTGAAATATATATATATATTGCTCAGATGGATATTAGTTGGAGGCCCAATACGAAGTCCTTCTGTTTACACAGAGAGGGCTTCAACGATAAAATATAAATGGCTTCCAAGACTTTTAAGTGGTAATTCGAGTGGGACTTGCTAAGAATGGTAAATGAGTCCACACTAAAACTAGTAGCACAATTATGGCTATTTATTAGGTGTTCTGCGATGTAAGACCCGGATGTATTGGTCAGAATGTCTGAAGAAGTGCACTTAAGATTGCAGATTTTCGTTGAAACGTGTTGCTTTATTCTGACATCCAGCCTTTGAGTTGTTCTCCTTACGTAATACGAACCACAACTACATTTAAAGGAATAAATCAAAGAACTATCATGACGTGGAGGTAGAACGTCCTTACGCATGGACGGAAGGACAGGCTTGGCAGAGAAAACCACATCAGTCTTAGCGGCAAAGTAAAAATGTCGAATTGCTACAGAAACCCGCTTAGCATAACTATCACTGATTTTACCCAGCCAAGGAATGTGCATGTACACAGGACATCTATGTACTATAGCAGGTTTAACTTTATTGAATTCAGCAATTTTATTCTTAATTATTGCTAGAACAATGCTTAATGGACTGGCATTGTTACAGAGTGTAGTATTAATAAACTTAAGTTCATCATCTAACTTAATTTCAGAACAGATCATAAGAGCCCTATGGGTAAGGGTTTTAATTAAATTAATTTTGCGTTTCATAGGATAAAAAGAAACCCCACGGGTATAAAAACCAGTGAACATCGGTTTACGGTAAACAGAACTAACAAAACCCGATGAAAATCTGTTAACCAAATCATCAAGAAAAGGAAGCGACGAATCAACTTCCTTTTCTTGTGTCCCTTAATAATATGCATCCAGCATTAAAATTTACACAAGAAAAGGAAGTTGTCTCTTCCTTTTCTTGATATATATATATATATATATATATATATAGGCTCCTGAGAAATTTATTTCGGTTGAGCTGTCTGGGGGAGGAAGTGTGGGATTGTAAACAGTGACTATTATGGCTATTATAGCAAGACTCTTCGGTAAAGCGAATCGAGTCCTCTCAGTCACTGTTTGTTTATCTAAAAATAAATACGCTAAAATTCACATTCATCCCTGCCGTTCGCCGACGGCTTAGAGGTAGAATCTCCGACTGACGCCAATTCAGTTGGGTTTCGATCCTAGTTAGAGGCAACACTAAAGGGCTGCGAAACAGTCTCTCTGTGGATGACTATATATATATATATATATACATATATATATACCAGAAGAAAGAACAGTCAGATTTATAATACAGAATTCTTTTACATTTATTTTTAAAAACAGTGCGCGATATGCTGTAGAGGATAATATTATTTTAAGTTCAATTTAAGATTTAGGTTTTGGTAATTTCTGCGTCGCGATGAACGTATATTTATATATATATATATATATATATATATATATATATGTAAAAAAAAATTCTTTGGAGTCTTAAATATTATTTTTTATATTAAGTATAAAGGGTTCTTTTAAAAAAACATAATTTGCATTAAAAATTAATCTGGATCAACGTATTTTAGCTGAGTTATTTTATGTCTACATGCATTCATTTTTCTTGTTTGATAAGCTAGGGTCATTTAAGGCTTTTAAGATAATTACTTTTTCAACAAGGCATAAATTACATCTATTGCCTTTCCCATTGTAATATTTAGCTCTTGTTACATTATCCTACGTAATAATCGGTGTATTACCACCATTCTTTAATTGCCAGAAATGTTTTGAGAGAGAGGCGCTGTTTATGTATTTTATATTGGTCTAAGTCTACCAATGAGATTTCCAAGGACATATATATATATATATATATATATATATATATATATATATATATATATATATATACAGATACTTGTACCCACAGAACATAGACTTGAACAAAATAAAGGTCATTATTGTATCTTTAGGATCTTTTCGTCCAGCGCTTTTTTTCAAAGGTAATCGTTGGCAAAATACAAAAACAATCAAGACACATTAATAATAATAATAATAATATGTATAAATAATTATTATTTATTAATATGTATAATATTATTAATATATACAAATAATTATAAATAATAATAATAATAACGAATGAGGAAGAAAAATTGTTCACGAACGCAGGACTCAAAGGGTTAAAAATGCCTTCGAATGAGTGATGCCTTTGGGTCTTAAGGAAGACCACACTTGTTTGAACCTTGTTGAATGGCGCTACGCAATCACAAACCATACCTAATAAGAGAAACGATGTCACTTGGAGACTTTTAACAGCAGCAACAATTAAAATGGATTTCACATGTAAATCGAAGAGAAAATAATGACATAATCAAGATGGTGACATTCCACATGACTTCAAATAGAAAGTTAGGAAAGAAACTCCAACCAACTTTGGAAAGAGCTATAATAGCTACTGGACTTGTGATTGTTTTGATTGGTTTTGTTTTATGGCATATCAACCTCAGTGGGTCATTTAATGCCAACAAAATTTTGAAATAGATTCAAAGCGATAGTTTGGTAAAAACGGTGTGTATGTATACATATATATTTGAACCCTTTTTCAATTACTCATATTTTTGAGTACAATTCAACTTCTTTTAGAAAATTTACAATCTTGGATTGTTTTATTTTCGTAAAAAGTTGTTTTTTTTTTAATTACTCACTTGGTTTTGGTTTGTTTTGTTTTACGGCATATCAACTACAATGGGTGCTTTAATGCCAACAACTTTTTTTTTTCTGGTAATATTTTGTTTTGTCAAAAATCTATTTCTGGTAATATATTATTCCTCAAAAATGTATAGCTGGTAATATTATTTTCAAAAAACTATTGCTGGTAATTTTTTTTTTTTTCAAAACTATATTGCTGGAATTTTTTTTTTTTCTTCAAAAATTTATTGCTTTTTACCTCAGTTTCGGGGTTAACTATTTACCCATAGCTGGGACCCTAACAGGTGCTACAACCCCGGGTCAGGATAGACCACCAGCAATTAAGAGGTGGTTCCATGCTCCTCAAAACCTCCTGATCAGAGGCCTTGCTGTTGGATGTAGTTTATCGTCTTAACCTGAACTCGGGTGTAGTTTATCGTCTTACCCAGGATGCCGGATGTAGTTTATCGTCATATCCAAGACGGACTGGACTTTTGATGCCTATTGCCCCGAAAAACTGTTGAAAATAGAATAAAAATTATACATTTCAACTGACAGTAGTCAGTGAATGCCGAATGTTTCCTTATAAGTAAACGGCTAATGTTATCATTAATAACGTGGGTTGTCTGAAAATCCCACAGATGTTTTACTTTAATATTTAGCAAGTTGTGGGCCAAATGTTCATTGTTGAACAAGTACTATTGTCAAATAATTACGACTAGAAATACCCTTGAAAAATTCACAGGTTTAATGTTCTGGTGATCTTAACTTTTAGATTAATGAATGAATAAGCTCATGGCGAGTTCTACGACAGTAAAATATCCGTAGAAGTTCCCCTATCTCATCAGTAAATAATTGAGTTTAACGACTTTAACAAAATATTGCAATAACAATCATAAATATAACTGCTGGGTATTATTTTAAGAAGTAAGTGGGTACAAATAAAAAGATCTGAAATTGACAACATTTTCTATTTCATTAAACCGACGTTAAACATGTCTGTCTTCCCTTCTTGCTTTTCTTCTTTCTTTCTTTCATTCATTTTTTCACTGAAACCATGTAGTGCCTTTTCCTCTCTGTCCCTGCGATCAAAAAGGAATAGTCCATTCTTTATGGGGTATTGTCAAGAGACGTTAAACCCGTCTGTCTTCCTTCTTTATTTCCCTCTTTCTTTCTTTCTTTTTTCTTTTTTTTTTTTCTTTCTTTCTTTCTTTCATTTTCTCAATGAAACCATGTAGTGCCTTTTCCTTTCTGTCCATGCGATCAAAAAGGAATAGTCCATTCTTTATGAGGTATTTGCAGGAGACGTTTAACACGTGTCTTCCTTCTTTATTTCCCTCTTTCTTTCTTTCTTTTTTCTTTCTTTTTTTCTTTCTTTCTTTCTTTCTTTCTTTCATTTTCTCAATGAAACCATGTAGTGCCTTTTCCTCTCTGTCCATGCGCTCAAAAAGGAATAGTCCATTCTCTATGAGGTATTTGCAGGAGACGTTAAACACGTCTGTCTTCCTTCTTTATTTCTCTCTTTCTTTCTTTTTTCTTTCTTTCTTTTTCTTTCTTTCTTTCTTCCTTCCTTCCTTCCTTCCTTCTTTCCTTCTTTTCTTCCTTTTTTTCTTTCATTTTCTCAATGAAACCATCTAGTGCCTTTTCCTTTCTGTCCACGCGATCAAAACGGAATAGTCCATTTTTTATGGGGTATTGTCAGGAGAAATTAAACACGTCTATCTTCCCTTCTTCTAGTCTTTCATTCAATTTCTCACTGAAACCAAGTCGTAACTTTTCCTTTCTGTCCACGCGGTCAAAACGGAATAGTCCATTATTTATGAGATTTTGACAGGACGTAACGGTCGTGCAAATCAACGGAGAGTGGGAGAAGCCCAATTATAATAGGATGGGTTTCTCGTTTTTACTCCTTTTTATGAATCACAAAGTAAGGACTTTCTCTGGTCATTGTGGTAGAAACGTATACAGAGATCACAGTGACCTTTTTTTTCGTTGCTTAAAACAATAGTTAATGAGGACGGACAGATTGATCATAAATCATTCTGAAAGATCGCACTGATAATGAAAGCTATTGTTTACATAGCGGAATCATTGAATCTAAAAAAAATTCCTTTTTGAATATCGGCCTTTTCATTCGATTTTTCAAAGTACAACATTTTGTTATTGTCTATTTTAATTTATTCAATAAAATCCAGAAAGAAAACATAAGGCACCCTATAAAGAAACACCATCTAAAGTGACACCATATAAAGAGACACCATATAAAAATCACCATATAAAGAGACACCATATAAAAAGTCACGATATAAAAAGATATCATATAAAAAGACACCATATAAAGAGACACAAGATAAAAAGATACCATATATAAGACACCATATAAAGACACAGTATAAAAAGACACAATATAAAATGACACAATATGAAGAGACACAATATAAAAAGATAAAATATAAAAAGGCACCATATAAAAGACACAATATAAAAAGACACAATATAAAAAGACACAATAAAAAAGACAATATAAAACGGCACAGTATAAAAGGGAATCATATAAAAGATATCATATAAAAGATATATAAAAAAAACACCGTATAAAGTGACATCATATAAAAACCCACCATGCAAAAAGACTATGTAAAAAGACACCATTAAAAAGACATAATATGAAGAGGCATCATATAAAAAGGCACAATATAAAAAGACACCATATAAAAATACACAATATAAAAAGTCACCATATAAAAAGGCAAAATATAAAAAGGCACCATATAAAAGACACCATGTAAAAAGACGTCATATAAAAGACACCATATATTAGTTTAAAAAAAAAACAATATATAAAATTAAGTATCGAAAAAAACACTATATAAAATTAAGAATAAAAACACTATATAAAATTAAGTCTAAAAAGAACACTATATAAAATTTAGTCTCGAAAAAACACTATATAAAACTCGTCATTATTTAATCCATAATGCTGAATGCGTTAAAATTAATAAACATTTTAATAAGGAAAATCTCAAGTTGATGTTAAAAATTACCACAAAACGTTGTTGACTTATTTAAGATGAATCATCACCTATATTGCATATGATCCATTATTGTACATAATGAATACGATCTTATGAAAATTGAGATGTACTAGAGTGGGGAACCTTATATATATATATATATATATATATATATATATGAATGTAGGTAGAAAAAGCAAATATTGTTAAGATAACGACGATTTTTCTTGGAGGTTTTGACGTCATTCTGGGATTTATTTATTTTCGTCCAAATCCCTGAATTTGTTTTGCTCAAGATTAATCAAAAATACACGATATAATATTTACCATTTTTATCCATGATATTGACTGTTTTAAATTATTCAATGTTTTAACAAGAAAATTCTCAAGTTGATGTTAAAAATTACCACAAAACATTGTTGAATTATTTTAAGATGAATGATCTATTATGACGGGTCTCTAATTTGTATTTAGACACATTGTATTTATTTTCCATTTTTCTAGTTGAATTGTTCACCTATATTGCATAGGATCCATTATTGTACATAATTAGGTTACAATAAAATTTGTATTTTATATGAATACTACATTATTAAAATTGAGATGTAGTAGAGAATAGGATGATAGATTTGGAGCAGCCCATATCATAGTTTTGTGGGGCCATAAGACCTTTACACCCGTCAGGCACGGGGTATTATCGTATTGTTAAAGTAAGCTTTCTTGCAGTCTACCTCTCTATTGGGCTGTAACAGCGCCGTAATACTGTACAGTGTTTTAAAAAGTCCAGCTCCTACAGATAGAGGACCTGTTTACTTTTTTATCCCCACCATCCAAAAGAAAGCTAGAAGACTTCAACATTGGAAATGGGATCAAGGTCCGATAAGTAAGTTCAATCAGTTCGATAAGGTCAAATTAGCAGCTGACCTCTAGAATGACTTACGGTCGGTTGTTAGCTAGGGCAAGGAATGGCTTGTTAATTTTAACGACTCCAAAATGAAACTTCTCTCGATGAATCACCTGAAAGACCTCTTCCTACCTTCTATCAGCATGGCTCATGTTAATCGCCATGAGAATGACGCGCTGGGACTTCTCCGGTTCTCGTCCGACATAAAATATGAAGATTATATTGTATCCATTGCTAGGTCTGCTGCTAAGAAAGTTGATTCACTGTATCGTTTTTCTCTTCTGAATCTATCTTACATATTTATAAGTCCACCATTCGTCCATGCTTTAAATATTGCCGCCACATATGGCCCGGAGCTCCGGCTGGATATCTAAAGATTCTTCATAAAATCCAAAAAGAATCGGCAATATTACTGGTCCTGACCTGGCATCACGGTTTCAGTCTCTTTCCCACCGCCGTAATGTAGCATCCCTGTGAGTTTTCTATAAATATTTCATTGTAAATAAACTCTTCGCTATGGTACCTAGACTTTAAGAATTTAAGCGCAGTACTAGATTAGCAACAAGGTCCCATCGATTTGCAGGTGAAATGACAAGATGTAACCGCAACAGCTTCTTTTCTCGCAATTCTCAGCTGTGGAACTCTCTTCCGCCTCCATAATTTCCAGTCAACATTGATCTTCAAAAATTTAAATGCAATGTCAATCGTTATCTACTGTCTTCCTGATTACTCTTCTATTGTCTTCGCTCAATTTTCGCTTATGGAACTCTCTTCCGGCTTCTTGCTTTCCAGTCAACTTTGATCTTCAAAAATTTAAATGCAATGTCAATCGTTATATACTGTCTTCCCGATTACTCTTCTATTGTTCTCGCTTGTTAATATTGTTTGCTTTTTTCTTATTCTTTAGCACTCAGTAACCATTTGCATCTTAGTGGCTTTATTACCAAGAATGGGGGTGATATTGATTTGAAAAAAGAAAGCGTTATCTCCGGTACTCGGACATTTGGCCTACAGACATTTAACCGAATGGATATTTACCCGAATATGTAATGGCGTACTTACATTTATGTCACACTGTTCATCGTAATGTGCTTCATATATTTATATTTATTTACTGTTTCAATTCATAATTTTCCGTTTTCTTTACAGTCTTTTTTAGAATCTATTCTGTATATATTATATTTTCCTTCAAATGCTACTAAAAGATGATAAATATTTTGAGTAAAAGCACATTTTACTACAGCAAATATCTTGAGCTTTTTCGATATGAAAGATCTTTTGATTTCGCTTTTAATAACCATTATCTTAAAAGGATGATCTAGATTTTATCTTACTGTTAAATATGAATTTAAATAACTCGGTGCTACTTTTGACCTAAATATACTCATATCTTTAAAATACTAATTTCAATAAACAAATATTTAAATAAGAAAACTTTTAACTTTAAATTTAGATTTAGTAATTCAATTACTTAAAATTCAGGGGTAATTATTAGTGCTATTTTACCTTATAATACTGATAATGAAAATACTTAAAGTATCGCTTGTTACTATTTTTATTTGTACTTTTTCGGCCAAATGTCCGTTCGGTCAAATGTCTGTTGGTCAAATGTCCGTCGGCCAAATATCCGATTCGGCCAGATGTCCATCGGACAAATGATAGCTTGTTTCTCTCTTAGCGTTTTTAATCGCCTTTCGAACATTTGTTTTATTTTAAATCGTGATGTACTTTCGTAAATATTAGACATCGAATTTTGTTTGCTTCATTGTTTCATAATTATGTTTTGGGAATGTTCTGATATCTTTGCATGTGCACCAATAAACAATATGGCTGCTTGTTCTGAAAAAAAGTAGTTTGCTTCTTGCTGATTGCTATAAAAAAAAACGTTTTTGTATGTTAATTTCCAAGTTTCAATTTTTTTTCACCTTGACGCACGCTTTTCGTCAATTCGTGTGCATAAAAATATTGATGACGTCACATCAATGCATTATTCTTCCAAAAAGGAATATTAACATTGATAAGATTTTAATTGGCACCAAATATTTAGTTAATAATTGTCTGCAAACTAATTAATTTTTTGCTAAAGTTTAACTTTCGTACCCACAAACAAACGCTGTTTCAAACGGACCATTTTCACTCTACAGTGTCATAAAAATATGTGAACCAAGTACAATGAAATATTTATTAGTTATTATTTTATAAAGAAATATATTTGAAAAGAAATTTTATTAAAAAATTTATAAAAATCTACAAAATTTTCAAAATGTAGTTGGAGAATACACTTACCACGCCGGGCAAAGCGAACATGGACCCGTTTAGCGTGTAAATCGAACATGGCCGAGGTCGCGGGGAAGCGACGATGTCACGCGTGGTCGCGAAGTGCGGCCATTTGCAATCGCCCCAATATGCATGTTTGAAGATACTTTTTATTATATTACTTTTAAATGAGAATAACGTCACTTACGAACAGTGGGCGCGCACCATAGATCAAAGCGGACAATTTGATTGTTGAGGCTCTTGAACGATTTTCAGCTCAGTTACTGAACTGTTATTTGTATTTAAGAAAAAAGATTTAAAAAATAAGATACTTCTATTTTTAAAAAAATAAGGGTTTAATCCTAGAAATCATGTTCTCTGCGGTGAAGAGTCAATTTACTGAAAAGAACTGAAATTTTACATCTAACCCATTTAGAATTCTTGGGAGGGTCCA